GCAAAAGTCACAAGGCACCCTGAGATCCGCCTCCAGCTACCGGCTGCCTGTTAGACTCAGTCACTGAAAGAGCTTCTGGCGGAGTCAGGATGATGAGGCTATTCGATGCCCCATGAGTGGGAGGTGCCATTCAGGCTTCAGGGAAGGTGGTGGGTGTGGTCCCTGCTCCAGTGCCACACGACTCTATCCCAGATTTTGCAGAGCCACTAGGAGTCAGGTGAGTGGGCCTCGCAGAGCCCCGAGGTGGGTTGCAGGAAGCTGGGAGGATGTGTCTATTGGATTACCTGTGAGAGAGAAGTGCCAGTCAGGTTCACGGAAAAGTGGGGGATGGCCCCTGCCCCAAAGCCAGACAACTCAGGCGCTGACACCCCCTGAGTCTTCCCAGATCTCTACACCCTGGCCAAGGCAGCTGACTTTTCAGAAGGAACTAAGCTCTGCAGGGTGGGGTGAGTGGGAGTCCAGAGGGTAAGGCAATTGCTTTCCCCTAGGCTGATGCATATTGAGGGGAGTGCTCCACCCAAGAAAGGTGGGAACTGTTGTGTCATAGAATGACTCAGCACAAGGATCCTGGTGCTGATCCCCCGAGGTCCCTCCCCAGAGCCTCAGTCCCCAGATTTTCCTCAGGCAATTCTAGTCTGCTCTGCCCTCCTTCTGCCAGAGCCCAGGGTGAGAGGCTGTGAATAAAATTTTGTGTGTTGGCCCTTCAAGAGGGTGCCTGTGTCTCCATCGGACTCTTCTTTCCCAGGATGACAGAAAACCCCACTGCTTTTCACAGCATGTGGGAGCCTCTTCCCAGCTCTGATGCTCTGGGCTGGGAGCCCCACTTGGGGTTTAGGCCCCACATTTCTTGGGGTGAACACCCTGCAGCTGAGATATCCCTCAGCCATGGCCCATGGGAGTGGGGCCAGCCCTTTTTGCTTGTCCACCCTTCCTACCAGTCTTGATGTGGCTTCTTCTGTAGGTCCCTGGGTATAAGACTCCTCTTCAGCTAGTGTTCAGTTGGTTATTCCGGATGATTGTTCTTTGGTTTAGTTGTAATTCCAGGTTGGTCCTGGAAGAAGGTGAGTGGAGCTTCTACCTACTCTGCTGCCATCTTGAAATTGTTACATGTATCTCATTTACAGAGCTGGTTCATTGCATCTTAGAACCTGAGCTAGTACACCACTCTGCTCGTCAATCATTCATTCATTCATTCATTCATTCAACAAGTATTTACATCTTTGTGACATGCATTATACTAGGCCTTGAAGGAAGTGAAGTAAGCAAAAACAAACTTGGCTATTCTGTGTCTTGACTGCTGGTAGTTACACAGTCCTACACATGTGATAAAAATGCATAGAAATACACACACATAAATACAAATAAAACTGGGGAAATATGTACAAGATCTTTAGGTTGTACCAATATCAACATCCTACTCATGATAAAACTATTGTATTATAGTTTTGCAAGATAATATCTTTGAGGAGAAACTGGGTAAAGGATCTCTATATTACTACAGCTGAGTGTTAATCTAAATTATCTCAAAATAAGTTACAAAAAAACAACTGGACCCAAGTGGTCTCTGTGCCTACAGTCTAGGATGGTATCAAAAGAAAATCCAGAGAGCTTTACTGTTAGGAATATTTTATTAAGTGAGAAAACACTGAACAGGGAGACTTCAAACTGAAAGTGGTTAGAAACTCAGTGCTCAGCAGTTACAGCTCCATTTGAAAGCAGAATGAAGAAATACATTGTTGTCTATTGTGCTTGGTTACTAGACATTGACATTCTTTTGATGCTAAAAGCACTGCATACTCGTGTACAGTAAGGAAGCTACTTCTTTCCTAGGAAGCTGTAAGGTCATGCTGAAATGAAGAAAGCTTAACTTTTGTTTAAGCTCAGAGTCAGCACTTCAGGAAAATCAGGATAGTTTTAAGTTTTGGTTCTGTGACTGTGAGTTTGGTGTAGGGCTATGCTCAAACTGTGGCCTTACTTTGCTTTTTCTTTAACAAGGGGAATCAAAACATTAAAAAATTAAAAAATGACTGATGATTACCGCCACCTGCAGCAGCCCAGCTTCAATTTTGCAGATGATAATGCCCTGAAGTCTGCAGAGCAATCCTGTAAAAGAACTGAGGGCGGAGGGCCAGGAATGCTCACTTTGCCATGTAAAGTGAGAGAGATAGAAAGTCCTTTGCTCTTTAAGTAGGGTGTCCATACAATTTATCATCTACACTGAGACACCTGTGGAAATAATTACACTGGCACAACTTGTGTAAACAGATCAGTTGTTCACTCTATTTTTTTTTAGCTTGTAAAAGTAAAATAATTTATTTTGATTGATTTCTCAAAGAATGGTTCAATATAATGCCAGTTGTTAATGGCAAAAATGTGGTTCCAAACTCCGTGATGCTACAGAGAGCTACTACTTTTCCCAGGAAGTAGGTAAACAGGTAGAAACAGAAAGCACGGCTCCCAAGCAGCATGGAAACTTCTCACCTGCACAGCCAACAGGCTGCACCTTTATACTCAAGACGGTACAAAGATGAACTGGTGACAAAAGTGAGAAGTGGGGGACAAGATGTGAACACCGAAAGGAGCAATGCATGTATGTAAAGACCACAAAAGGATTTTAAAGGATAATTATAGAAAAGAGAGCCAAATATTTTACTCAAATGTCTTTAGAGACTTTGTGTAGAGATACAAATACGTGTGTGTGTGTGTGTGTGTATGTATATATATATATATTTATCCAAAAGTATGTTTTATACAGATAAATGCTTCTTAATTAAAGATGGGACCAAAGCTATAGTTGTAACATAAAGCACTGTGTCCTTTTAAGAGTATTTATCCACCTGTATTTTCAATTTTTTTAAGGTTAGTGCATTAAATGTTTTCCAAATATAATTACCTGACATTCTTTTTGTAGATATAAATCAAGTAGGCATTATTTTTAAAGAGGGTTTGCAGGTTAAACAATGTTCTTTTAAGATGCTATGCATGTTGAACTTATGACAAGCCCCATTAAGAATCATTATTAAGCCCGGCCGGGCGTGGCTCAGCAGCTGAGCATCAACCTGTGAACCAGGAGATGGTGGTTTGATTCCTGGTCAGGGCACATGCCCAGGTTGTGGGCTCCATCCCCGGGTTGTGGGCTCCATCCCCGGCTGCAGGAGGCAGCCGATCAATGACTTATCATTGATTGTTCCTCTCTCTCTCTCCCTCTCCCTTCCACTCTCTGAAATCAATAAAGATATGTTTTTAAAAAGAATCTTTATTAACATATCAAAAAGGGCTATATCAGACCTTTTTTTATAGCAAATATTTAATTTTCTGATTTCCTGTTTACAAGTGTTGAAAATGCACAGGAAAGATTTTACTTCACAAGTACTTTTATGTTAATAGAAGATATTTTGATTCAACAAATATGGCAATGAATCTCCACATTGTAACCAATAGTATATGTGTTTGGTTTTTTCTTTTTAAAAAATGGGGTGTAACACTAACAACCACTACCTATAAAATAAAGCACACTATTATTTTGGTGAATTTACAAATCTTTTTTCCCTAGTATAAAGGCTACAAAAATTCCTAAAAATTAGAGAACACTGAAAACATATTAAAGTTTGGCAACCACCTTTATATTATCTCCATTTTACCCTGAAAGATAACTTAAAAATATGACTTGGCTGGAAAAGACCATCTTGCTAATAAAAAAAATCAGTGAGAGCAAAAAATTGTATCATTGATATATATGTAGAATTTTTGTAAATAGTTCTCTCTCCAAATCATTAGAAAAATGTTCAAAGATTCAAAAACAAAGTAAAATATGGTCGTGGTCCCTGAACTATTTTAAAAGCAAGTAGCTTAGTCTAAGCTAAAATATTTTTCTCACTTATAGTAATTATCTTCCTGTCAATTGCCCTTTAAAAAAACGCATGAAACAGTACAGTAGCAAAACCCAAAGAGCATAAACTGCATTTGTAAGCACAGAAAAAAATCTCTAGTGCTGAAAGATACAGTATAAAGCCGATTTCTTTGGGGACATTACTCAATTAGATTATAATTCATTATGACAATTTCTCTTTTCTATTACAGGAGAGTCTGGTCCATTTGAAGTTACTGTTCCATTTACACCATTTTCTGGGCTCGCACTGCACATGGCCTGATGGGCAAGGCTGCTGGAGCTAATTGGATTCAATGGCTTCTCCATCACTTGTCCAGCCAGGTCTGGATTCATCAAATACACATTCTGCTCTCTGTGAAGCATATGTAAAGGTATGACCAGCTGTGGCTCATTGGTAGTCTTAGAACTGATGAGTTTGCTTTTTGTTTGTGCAACAACACAAATGCTGTTGGGCAAGGAGAGATGGTAGATCTGACTGAAAGCCAGTCCTTGTCTCAGCACCTCACGATGATGCCTTTTGGCACAGGACAGAGATTCCCCCCCACGCTGTGCACGGACCTTCAGAACGCACCTTCTCACCAGGTCCTCCCAGCCTGGACTCACACGCATGGTTCTGGTGTCCAGTGAAATGATCTTGCCTTGGAGATCTTGGCGAGTAGAAAAACTTTCCAATGAGGGAAAAAACGGTCTCTCCTTCATGGGGGCTCTCCTTGCCACACAAATCAAGCAGGACTGCAAATCTTCTTTGGTGGACTTTGGTTGAGAGACAGCAAAGCTCTGCATAGTTTCATAATTCTGATGTGCTTCCTGGTTTATCACAACCTTCCCCTTGGAATCAGGCAGAGGTCTTACCAGCATCCGGAAAATGAACATATGGGTTCATTTTTTTGCATGTACCTGTCCAATTTTCCTAGCACCATTTATTGAAGAGACTGCCTTTACTCTACTGTATGCTCTTGCCTCCTTTGTGAAATATTGACTGTAAGGTGTGTTGATTTCTGGGCTGTCTCTTCTGTTCCATTGATCTATATGCCTGTTCTTATGCCAGTACCACGCTGTTGTGATTACAATGGCCTTGTAGTATAGTTTGATATCTGGTAGTATGATACCTCCGATGTTGTTTTCTTTCTCAAGATCGTTGAGGCTATTCTGGGTCTTTTTGGGTTCCATATAAATTTTTGGGATATATTTTCTAGATCGGTAAAAATATGCCATTGCTTTTTAATAGGAATTGTATTGAACCTATAGATCGCTTTGGTAGTAGCCAGTGGAGAGAAAGTTGGACGTGGTCAGAGCAGTATAACTGAAAAAGGAGACCTGGTTTAGAAAAGCCAACAAGGAAGGAAGGTATGCCCGAAGAGACAAAGATAGGGGCATCACAGGTCTTAGTAGTGTACCTGCCCGGTACCTGTTGCTCACTGAATGTAGGGAAGTAGGAGGTTGGGTCTTATGAAAAATGAGCATTGGGAGTCAGGGGCATATGAAGAAATATTCTCACTTGTTAGCATATTACTGATACACCAACAGATGAGAATTAATAATTTCTTTTTAAATGGCTCTACAGTATAGTCTCTATGGTATAGAAATTTAATTCTTGCTCACTTAACATTCCAGGATGGGTGTTTAAGTCAGTGGGTGGTTCCATTGTTGGTGATCATTCAGGCACCCAGGTTCCACCATCCCCCAAGGGCCCCAGAAAGCAGAAAGAACATGTAGAGAATGCACAATAGGTTCTCACAGACCTGACACGGAAGGAACACAAAGTTCTGCTCACATTCCTTTGGAGAGACCTTAGTTATACTCCTCACTCAACTTCAAAAAAGGCTGGAAAATGTAGTCTAGCTGTGTGCCCACAGAAGGGAAAAGCAGAATTTGGTAGGCAGCTAGTGGTCTTCGCCACTGCGATCAGCAGAATAGTGGACCTGTGGTGTCTGCGTCCTAATCCCTAGAACCTGTGGACATGGCACAGGGACCCTGCGGATGTTTATGATCTTGAAATGAGAACATTATGCTCGATTTTCCCAGGGGGCCCCAAATAATCACAAGAGTCCTTATTACTGAAAGGGGGAGGCAGGAGCATCAGTGTGATGCACCATGAGCAAGATTTGTCTGGCCATTGTTGGCTTTGAAGATGGGAGGGGGCCATGAGCCAAGGGAGGCGGGCAGCCTGTAGAAGCTGGAAAAAGCGAGGAATAGATTCTCCTCTAGAGCCTCCAGAAAGAATGCAACTCATGCTCACACCTTGATTTTAGGCCCTTGTGACCCATTTCGGACTTCTGACGTCCAGAACTCTAAGATACTAAATTTATGTTGTTTTAGGACACCACATTATGGGAATTTGTTACAGCAGCAATGGAAAACTAATACACCACATTTGGTAATTCCTCCTGCTGACCCTTTTTCCAGCCTGACAAAGCAAAGCATATTTACTTAGAAACAATGGATTGCTTGCTTACAAGCTAGATACCACTGAGTAACCAGATCAAAGAGTTATTTTTCTTAAATCTTGTCTCAGATTGTGGGGTGTGGGGTGTTCCTTGGGGAATTTACTTGGCTTCCAGATGGGGCTGCTTTCCACTACCTGAGTGTCTAGATGCTGGTCCTGGGATGGAGGCCACCACACCCCCAGACTTACGTAATACACCCATACACAAATGCTTCTCATCCCAGGCATACCTCTAAAACTCTAATAAACACCAACTTCTCCAACCTAGGAGATCCGACTACTATTATCCTGGTAAGAGACAGATGAGGGCACAACATAAAAACAGGTTTGGCTACTTGCATAAAATCATCTGGGAGTGAGAGTCTTCATTTGAAACCAAGCGGAGAGCTGGTGATCTCAGCCACTACATAGTTCACACAGACTCCTTCCTGAGCATAACTGATGCTATGCGTGGCCTGAGGAAACCTTCCAAAGTTAAACGGGGAATAGTCAGGGGGAAGATGAGTTGAGTTGAAGTGCTGTGACCTCCTTCCCCATGTCTCCAGGCTGAGGCTGGAAAAGAGAATGGAGAACCCCCGGCCCAGGGAATCTCTGGAGGACAGATGCAGCCAACTCCTCAAGGTCCAGACGCAGACAGGCTTCAGCTTCCCCAGTCTGTTCTCAGCTAACCCTCGTTTTTTAATCCCATGAGGAAAAATTCCCTTGCGTTGCATGACTGGTCCTCAATACCATTTCATGCCTAGAGTCTCTGTAAACAAACCCAGATAAAATTATTTTCCAGGCTTTCATTTTCGAATTCGCCAGAAGTAAGAGTGCATGCCTGTGGAAGGCTTTTCTGTATTCACTGTCGATCAAGGTTTTCCCTCCCTGCTTTCTTACCCCTCCCTCCTCTCTCCCCTTGCTCCCTCTTCATTTTAATATTTTTAATCCTCCCCTGAGGATATGTTTATTGACTTTAGAGAGAGAGGGAGAGGGAGAGGGAGAGAGAAACATCGACTGGCTGCCTCCTGCACACCCCGTACCGGGGATCGAGCCCACAACTCGGGCAAGCTTTCGGTGCACAGATGACAGCCAACCAGCTGAGCCACACCGGCCACAGGCCAACCACAAACTTTTGGTGGACTGGGCGATGCTCCAACCAACTGCTGCTCCTCCTTTTCGTTCCATAAGGACTGAACTCATCCCATAGGCTCCCACACTCCCCACGTCCGTAAGTCATGAGACCTTTAGTAAGTTTCGGTAAGTTATATTTTTCTAGGAATTTTATCATTTCACCTACAATTTCTAATTTAATAGCATAAAACTCTAAAATAACATCAAACTTTAGAAATTCTCCGAGACTACAAGGGGATGAGTGCCTTATTTCAACTGTTGCAACTAGTAAAGATCTGAGAGAACGTCTCTACAAACATGAGGAAGGTGAGGGGCTTTATAGGGTAAAGAAACAAAAGTAGCTGTGCCCACTGCAGTTTTGGTGGGCTTTGGTCAGGCAGACATCACAATCTTACAGAAATGAGTCATTTCTTTGTGATTTGGCTCATCTTATGTTACACCCTATTTTGGGGACCGTTGACTCAAGGAGCTTAGGAGTGGGTTATTCTTTCAGCATTAGGGAGCTAGAAGGTCAGTGTATGTCCAGAGGGAAAAGCTTTTACAGTGCTCCATATTTCCCCTTTTTTCCCAACTTAGGTGATTTATGGGTTCTCTTTTGTTCTTGATTCATCTCACCAGGTTTGTTAATATTATTAGTCATTTCCAACGTACACACATACTTGGCTTCACTGAGCCTCTGTATTGTATGTTTTTCTATTTCATAAATGTCTACCACTTATTACTTCTTTATTTTAACTTTTTTTGGGTTTATTTTGATTGTTCTGAGATGGTAATAGGTTTTCTGATTTTTCTAAAATATCTTTTTAGGCTATCAATTTCCAAGCATTGCCTAAGCAATATCCCACTGGTCTTGATATGCAGTATTTTCATTATCATTCATTCAAAATATTTGTTTGAACTATGATTATGAAATGTATATGTAAACTTCCAAATATAACAGGGATGCCCAAGGTATCTTTATTACTAATTTCCAATTTAATTATGCAGAGAATATATGCTATAAAATTTCAATTTTTAAAAATTTGAGATTTACTTTATGGGTCAGCATGTGGCTCATAATTTCTTCTCCCAGCTTTATTGAGATATAATTGACAAGTAAAATTGTCAATTCTGAAAATGTTTCATGTGTGCTTGAAGAAAAATATTTATCCTTGATACACTGGTGCAGTGTTCCCTACATGTATCAGTTGGACTGCTAGTTAATCATATTGTTCAAATTTGTATCTTTACTAATTTTTACTCTAATTGTCCCATTAATTACTGAAAGAGGTGTCAAGTCTCCCATCATGATTGTGGATTTTATATTTCTCCTTTGTTTGAATGTATCTGCCAACTCTTAACCTATGTTATTAGGTAGATACTAACTTAAAAGTGTTATATCTTCCCACTGTTTTCCTTTCCTGAACCTTTTGTTTTAATGATTCCCTTTGTCTCTAGAAATGGTTTGTGCCTTAAAAGTCCCTATTTCATCTAATTTTAGTAGAGCTACATACACCAGTTTTCAGTTACTATTTGCTTTGTGGTTTGGTGGTTGTTAATCCTCACCAGAGGATATTTTTTCCATTGATCTTTTTAGAGAATGGAATGGAGACAGAGAGACAGACACATCAATTAGTTGCCTCCCGCATGCACCCTGACCGGCCAGGGATCCAGCCTGTAACTGACCTACGTGTCCTTGACTGGTCATCGAACCCAAGACTCTTTAGTCTGAGGGCGGGCACTCTAACCACTGGACCAAACTGGCCAAGGCTTTTTTTTTTTTTTTAAGGCGAGTCTCTTGCATGCAGCATATAGTGGGGTTTTGTACTTTTTTCCTCTTATGGTCAGAATGTTTGTGGTCCCCCATCCCATGTTGGAATCCTAACACCCAGTGTAATTGTGTTAGGAAGTGAGGCCTTTGGGAAGTGGTTAGGTCATGGGGGTGAATCCTCATGAATGGGATTAGTGCTCTTGTAAGAGACCCCACAGAACTTCTCAGCCCTTTCCACCATGGGAGGATCCAATTAGAAATCTGAGAACTGGAAAAGAGGCCTCATCCAACCATGCTGATCTTCAAATACTCTGATCTTGGGCTTCCCAGCCTCTAGAACTGTAAGGAACACATTTCTATTGTTTGTAAGTCACCCAATCTGTAGTATTTTGTTACAGCAGCGTAACAGACTAACAATGGCTGACAATCTTCTTAAATAGAATATAAATACTGATATATATGGCTTAAGATCTACTACCTTTTTGGTTTTTTCCTCTGTCCCACCCATTTTTTATTTGCCTTTTTATTGACTTTTAAAATCCATTTTTATCTACTAGTATTGTAATTACACATTCTATTTTATGATTCCCCTAGACTTTACAATATGCATGAGACGAACCAAAGCCTTTGCCCTTATGTAATACTTCAATAGTTTTTACTCTTGACTAATGTTACTATTGTTTGGTATTTTTTCTTATTTTAACAACTCCAAAATTTTATTGTTTTATATAAAACATTCATTTACATTTGCCTACATATTTCTTATTCTCTTTGCTCATTTCTTTTTGTATCTTAGAATCCCATCTGGGATCACTGTCCTTCTGTATTAAAATGGATTCTTTAAAATCTCCTTTAGTGAGGGTCCGCAGTGGATAATGAAATAAATTTTTATGTCTTAAAATGTGCTTATTTTAGTCTCATTCTTCAAGTATATTTTCACTGGGTATAAAATTCTAGGTTGGCAATTATTTTCTATCTTTATGCTGATATTCTCGCTCCACTCTTTTGGCTCCCATTGTTGCTACTGAGAAGCCTATTCTTCCTTTGATGGAATTTTTGGTGTGTTTAGCTGTTGAATTTTTTCTTTGATTTTCTAGTTACATGATCTGTGTAGGTGTGACTTTTAGAAAGGTATCCTGCTTTGTATTCTTTGGGATTGTAAATCTATAGGCTTATTTTTTTGTCAGCTCTGGAAACTTCTCAGACCCATTCTCTTTGCTTGTTTTATTCTGTCCTTGTCTTCTGAGACTATGATTAAATGTATGTTGAACTTCCCAATGAAACCTTCCCTTCTCTGCATTGTCCCATATTTTTCTGTCTCCATGCTGCATTCTGGATTTCTTCACCCATCCCTTTCATGTTTTCACCAATTCTTTTGTTCCTGTCACACTCTGTTGCCAAATACATCTTCAAATATTTTGAGAACAGTTCCTCCTTCCACCCCAACGTAACCAATAATTCAATATATGAAGTCTACGTGGGTCTGTTCCTTTCTGCTAGCTTTCAGTCATGTTGCCTTTTTTCCTTATGTGCCTAATTATCTTTGTTTATTAATTGTCCCTGAAAAGTTATCTATAAGGGTTACTTCAGTTCGGGATTGAAGGAGTGTTCTCCCAAGGTTTCTATGTGTTGCTTCTACCAGGTGTGTTTTTCTTGATGAGGGCTGACCAGTGACCACAGGACCCAAGATGTTTTCCTTTCCCTTATTTTTTCTTCTCTTGCTCTGCTTAGTAATGGCCACTGTCTCTACAGGCCACTGGAGTTGGGGATGGGTTTAGAATTGGTTTATCCTGAGGATAAAGCCCTTTGGGAATCCAGTTTAACTTTGGAAAGGTCTCCTGTAAGATTCATCACCTCGGTGGGCCTGGCACCAACCTTCTGTCTCTCCCCCGCCGTAGGTGAAGTAGTGTTCACCTGTGCAGCATCAGAAAACATGTAGGGCATAAGCTGCTTTGGTGTTCCCTCTCTGATGACAGGATCCCATTTTTAAACTGCCCTGCTTATTTAAACTGCATTGTCTTCTCACTCTCAATGCTCTTGGGGAGGGCATACTATCTACATTTTAGTCTTTTTGTTTTTTGGTAGGAAGTTGACCAAAATAACCTAGCCTATCTTTACCAGAAAGCATCATCCCACTTTTTCAATGTTGTTTTTCTTTTCTAGACTTTGAGGTTTTCCAGCCCATATTTTTAAATTTATATCCTTTATTTCTATCCTTCTAGTGCTTGCCCATGACAATTTATCATACATAGTTATCATAAAACCTAAACAGCACCTTTTTTTTCTTTTTTNGCATGAACATATTGCATTTTTCTATTTATTTAGACTCACTTTATCCCTCTTAGCAATGTTTTATAGTTTCCAGTGTACGTATCTTACACATATTTTGTTGAATTTATCCCTGAAGGTTTCTTAAGTACTATTTTTAAAAAAAAATATATCTTTATTGATTTCAGAGAGAGGAAAGGAGAGGGAGACAGACAGAAACATCAATGATGAGAGTCATTGATCGGCTGCAGCCCGCAACCTGGGCATGTGCCCTGACCAGGAATCAAACCCCAATCGCCTGGATCCTAGGTCAACGCTCAACTGCTGAGCCACGCCCGGCTGGGCCTAAACAGCATCTTGACCCTCCTCTGTGCAGATCTTCCATCTTCCAATTTACCTACATTGTCCAATATTTCAATTCTATTTTAAGCCTTGNTAAACAGCATCTTGACCCCCCTCTGTGCAGATCTTCCATCTTCCAATTTACCTACATTGTCCAATATTTCAATTCTATTTTAAGCCTTGAATTAGACACTTAAAAAAGTGTTTTGATTTACCTACATGTTAGCAATTTTATTTTTCTTCCTGCATATCAGAAATTTTCTCTGAAAAGAGGTGAGGGATGGCAGTCACTAAACCAGTTCAATTCCCAAGATCCCGAACAGATGCAGTCACACCACATTACTGGATCTGCACCAGTCTGCTGAGAATGATTAGAGACCCAAAGACCCCACCTTGTCTGGGATCATCCTGAGTTGCACATATGTGTCCTTAGATAGCCTCAAAGAAGCCCTGGGGCCCACTTCTGTGGATGAGTCAATGGAGGTTTCAGTAGTAATGTGTCCCAGTGCTCAGTGGGCTAGGGCACTTAGAACCCCCATTTGCGTGGTGGCTGTCCTCTCCTCTATTAAACCCATGCATCTCCTGAAAGTAGGCAGTGCATTAGGTCCAGGTGGGGGCCTCAAGCCACCAGCACACTGATAGCACACACAAACCTCAGGTAACCCAATCTAAAACTGTGCTGGTTTTATCTTCAGTAAATGAAGATAAACCAATATACCTGGTGACTCCTGGAAATTGATAATCAATGGCTTCCACCATCCTTTCTGCCCACTGGGTACCAGCTCTGCTAGAGACTGGCTATGCTGCAGGATGTGTGAGCTTTTCTGATGATGCCTTTCATCAGACCAACCTATTTCCCACTCATCTCTCTTAATAAAACAAACAAAAACCCAATTCAATTGTCCTACCCAGATATCACTGTTGCTCCGTCTTCCTGATGGCTATTAGTGCTCTTTCCTCGGAATGCTGCATTTTAGTTCAGCGTCCATTGGGGTAGCTTTGCTTGTGGACTCTCTCCCTTATATATCCTTTATTTACTCCTTCTGCCTAGTGCCTAAGACAGTGGACTGTCCCTAGCACATCCTCAACAAGAATTTGCTGAATAAATTAACCCAAGTCTGTGGAGAGAATCATGCTTGCCAGTGTTGCATGTAGAGAGGACAAAGAGCAAGTGTGGTAGTGACATTCCAAAGTGGGGTGGCAGAAATGCTCTACCTCTCCCTTTCCTAGTCCCATCCCTACTCCATCAAAATTTACTAGTGAGGGTTTGGAGACAAAGTGAAAGAATTACACTCCTAGAGAGAGGCATGTAAATTTTGTGGCTAGATATGTGAAATCCTAGAGATAGCAAGGAAACAATCTAGAGATTGTTGTCTTGTAAAAAGAGTGAATTTTGGAGCCAGAGTGACCTGACAAGAAATTCAACCTCTACAGATAAGCCCCATGGGCCCAGGCTATTCTTGGGCAGGTTACTTAACTCTCAGAAGATTCTCCTTTTACCCTTTGAGTTACCTAGTTAACAGCTTTATGCAAAGTTAATATTTTGTTAAATTTTCTCTGTTCCCAACAGAACTGTTTCTGTGTGGTGACTACCACTCAGAGCCTGCCCATTCCTACAAGTTACAATCCAGCACCAGTATGTGAGGCTCAATTCATTTTGCACTTCTCCTGGTGGAGGTACCACCTAACATCTAATGAGACCTGAGCTGCTAGACCTGGGGAATGAGCCCCTGCTGCCGTCCGAGGTTTGTATCTGGCATAACTTATCCCACAAAGATGTGACAGGAATGGCTTTCCCTGTATACTGCTCCATCAAGTCAGGCACAGCCTGTTTACTTTTGAGGAATTTCTTTATTGGAGTTCCACCCTACCTTGCGACAATTATCTGGCTCTTCAAGGCCAAGAGAGAGTGAGCCCTGAACAATATATTCATAACATTTTACAAAAGACAATACACAGATGTAGTGCATGAAATCTTTACAATAACACAGTCCAAAACAATCATTTAACAGGATTAAGAAGCATGAATTTCCTCCTATGGCCTGATTACTGGTAGCTACTTAGCTTTTTTGCTTCTGCAATAAAATGCCCTCCTTTTCAGCATTCCTATTCATAGGAATCCCTGAATCAATTTTGTGTGCAAATTCATATTGAAGATGTGTTCCATTAGTTATTTAATGTACTGTATTTCAATCCATGGTAGAACCTTTTATCTGTAGGTTTTTTCACTCACCATGCTTTTACCATTCATTGTGGGGGTTTAATTGAAAATTTTTAAAAGTTCACCCTCACATTACAACAGTATAATCCAATCAACTTGCAATTTTTTTTTTTTTTTTTAGTGCTCTCTCCTATCTCGTTATTTATTGTCTACTTTTTACTTTCCCTACAAAATTTAAATTTTGTTTAAGAATTTGTCATCATCCCCCTAAACCATTCAATTATATCAGGTTTTGACTCCATGATCACTACTATTAAATAAATTTATATTCCCTGAAGCCTCTCTCTCCCTGAATTTGCCTGTTGGAGGCCCTTCTTGGGATTTTTCCACTGACCAATGTATAATTGGGACTCAAAGCTATACCTGAATGTCCCACATTTACATTCACAGAATTTACCTAAATATGAACTTCTTAGTGGTGACTGTGTGACTTCTAATTGAAACCCTTTCCTTATTCATGTATTTCCTTACATGTCCAGAAATGTCTGCTTATTTTGAAGGTTTTNCTTACCTAAATATGAACTTCTTAATGGTGACTGTGTGACTTCTAATTGAAACCCTTTCCTTATCATGTATTTCCTTACATGTCCAGAAATGTCTGCTTATTTTGAAGGTTTTATTTTAACATTCTATCGTTTTGATAGGTTTTATCCCCAGTATGAACTATTTTATATTCCATAAGGGCTCAACTACCTTGACACTGGAGGCTTCGTTGCTGGCTATGATTGAAGCATAGAAAAGATTACTCATGGTTTCATTTATACTATGTAAATTATAAGCCATGAATAAGGATCTCATATATTCTTACATTCAAAAGGTTTTTCTTCCATTTGAGTTCTTTGAGACTCAGTAAGCTTTGCCTCCTACAGAGACAAGCTCATCCTGGTCCCATCCAGAATATTCCCACCCTCGTGAGTTCTCTTTTGCGATGTGCCACTGTAACTTCCCACATTTGGCACATTTAAAGGTTCCTCTCCTGTATGGATTCTTTTATGCTTGGTGAGGTCTGATCTGATATTAAAAGCCTTCCCACACTCATTACACCGATATGGCTTCTTTCCAGTGTGGATCCTTTTGTGTTGGTCAAGGACTGATCTATAATTGAAGGATTTCCCACACTCACAATTATAGGGCTGCTGCCCACGGTGGATGCTTTTATGGTTGATAAGACTTGAGTGTGAGATATATGCCTTCCCACACTCATCACATCCATAGGGTTTCTCACCTGTGTGGATCCTTTTATGCACTGTGAGGCCTGAGCTGTTCCGGAATGCCTTTCCACACCTATCACATACATAAGGTTTCTCCCCTGTGTGGATCCTCTTGTGTTGAGAAAGAAGTGAGCTATAACTGAAAGATTTCCCACATTCAACACATTTGAAGGGTTTCTCCCCAAGATGCACTCTTTTATGGCTTATAAGAGTTCTGCTTGAGAAAAAAGCTTTTCCACATTCATCACATGTATACGGTGTCTTGCCAGGGTGGGTACTTTTATGGTTAATAAGGCTTGAGTGTGAGATGTAGGCTTTTCCACACACATCACATTCGTAGGGTTTCTCCCCAGTATGAATTCTTTTATGCACTTTAAGGCTTGAGTTGTTTCTGAAGACCTTCTCACACCTGTCACATTCATAGGGTTTCTCTCTAGTGTGAACCCTTTTATGTTGAGAAAGAAGTGAGGTGTAATTAAAAGATTTCTCACACACGTCACATTTGTAGGGCTTCTCCCCAAGGTGAATTTTTTTGTGGTTTATAAGGGTTCGGTATGTGATAAAGGCCTTTTCACACTCCTCACACTTATAGGGCTTTTCCCCAGGGTGTACACTTTTATGATTTATAAGGCTTGAGAGTGAAATGTAGGCTTTCCCACATTCTTCACATTTGTAAGGTCTCTCCCCAGTGTGGATTCGTTTATGCACTTTAAGACCTGAATTATTTCTGAAGGCTTTTCCACACTCATCACACCCAAAAGGTTTCTCCCTCGTATGAATCCTTTTATGTTGTTCAAGGGCAGAGCTATAATTGAAGGATTTCTCACAATAGCTACATTTATAGGGCTTCTCCCCAAGATGGATTCCTTTGTGGTTTTTAAGGCTAGAACGTGAGATATAAGCTTTCCCACACACATCACACTTGTATGGTTTTTCTCCAGTGTGGAGCCTCCTGTGGACTTTGAGACCTGAATTGTTTCTGAAGGTTTTCCCACACACATCACATACATAAGGTCTCTCTCCAGTGTGAATGGTCTTATGTTGAAGAAGAAGTGAATTATAGCTGAAGGATTTTCCACACTCCTTACATTCATGTGCCTTCTTCCCAGGGTGTATGCTTTTATGGACTGCAAGGCCTGAGCTATAGCTGAACGCTTTGCCACAGACATCACACTTGTAAGGTTTCTCTCCCGTGTGGATCCTTTTATGTACAATAAGGCCTGAGCTATTCCTGAAGGCCTTCCCACATTCATCACATTCATAAGGTTTCTCTCCAGTGTGAATGACTTTATGCTGAATGAGGAGAGAGCTATAATTAAATGATTTCTCACATTCATCACATTTGTAAGGTTTATCTCCAAAGTGGATGCTTTTATGGTTTAGGAGTGTTCTGCAAGTAATGAAGGCCTTCCCACACTCATCACATTCATAGGGCTTCTCACCTGTGTGGATCCTTTTGTGAACCCTAAGGCCAGAGCTATTACTGAAGGTTTTCCCACAGATGTCACATTCATAGGGCTTCTCCCCTGTGTGGATTCTTTTGTGGACTCTGAGACCAGAGCTGTTCCTAAAGGCTTTTCCACACTCGCCACATTCATAGGGCTTCTCCCCAGTGTGGATCCTCTTATGCTGGTCCAAAACAGAGCTATAATTGAAGGATTTTCCACACTCATCACATTTACAGTTCTTCTCTCCAGAATGGGTGCTTTTATGATTTATAAGGCTGGAGTAGGACATGTAGGCTTTCCCACATTCCTCACACTTATACGGCTTCTCCCCAGTATGGATCCGCTTGTGGACTCGAAGGCTTGAGCTACTCCGGAACGTCCCTCCACAGTCATCGCACTCATAGCGTTTTTCCCCAGTGTGCATAATTTTATGTTGAATAAGGCGGGAATTATATTTGAAGGATTTCCCACACTCATCACATTTATGGGATTTCTTAAAAGCACTGATTTTCTGCTTCAGATGGGGATGAGAGTTTCCATTGACATTCTCCACACATTTTCCTTGTTCACTGCTTTTCTGTTCTATAGGGATGGTCTGGTGTATAACATGCTTTGAGCTCAGATGTAAGCTTTTCTCAGATGCCTCATCTTCCTGTTCTGTCTTTATATTTGCTGTATTCTTGGCTTTTCCAATCTTTTCCCTGATGCCACTTATGTCTTCCATCATTCTTTTTCCCTCAGGCTCTTCCAATTGGTTCTGTACCTTGCTATCCCAATCACAAATTTCACCAACCTTAGATTCCCGCATATGATCCTTGTGAAGACCTTCCACTTTTAGCCACAGAGATTCTGCTTTTCCAACACTTTCACACTTCTCAGTCGATTCCTCATCCTCAGTGCCCCTCGTCTTGAAATGTGACACTAAACCAAGAAAATGAAAATGATACTTGTTCACTTTGTTTAGAAGAAACTGGAAGAATTATATCCTAAGTCACTCAAGTGTTTACTGACTGCATGCTATGTGATAGGTACCACTTTTTAACTGCTGGGATACAATGGTGGACATGCCAAAATTTCTGCTGCTGTGGGGCTAATGTTGAAATGCTAGAGGCCTGAATTTTCAATGAAACAGAGAACTTTCCTATTCTTGCCTAAAAGATTAACATGAGGGTAAATGGAAATGGTTTGAAATGATGTACAGAATCATGGGCAACACTAATCAGTTTTTAAAAATGATACCAAGTCATCAAAAAACAAGCAGAGGGTAGAAGAAATCTCTGAAGAATAGCAGACAGATTAGTAAGACAAGTTAAGAAGACATAATCAGCAGAAGACAGGCAAAACTAAAGAGAAATCAGTATGTGGAAATATTGGGGAGGTGGTTATAAAGTCATGAAGATAGTCATGTCAGAGATGATAAAACACACACACACACACACACACACAGCCTTTTGGTTTGGCCTCCTGGACTTCCCCTCCAAGGAAAACTCTGACCCTGAAAAATGGCAAATCAGGGCAGTCAGGGAGGAACTCTATATGGAAGAGGACACTCCAGCCTGGGAGGCAAAAAGACTTTCACTCCTACTTTATGAAGAGGCTACCTGCAGTGAGAGAATATCAAAAAGCAAAAACACAAATCATTAGGCAAAGGCATTCTGCCTAGGTCCTTGAGAAAATTATTTAACCTCTTTGTGCCACAGTTTCTTCATCTGGACAATGATAGGGTTGGTGTGAATATTAAATGAGAGAATATATGTAAAGTGTTGAGAACAATGTCACTTGGTGAAGTGCTATATGCTGTTATTACTTTTTTTTTTTTTTTTTGAGGTCAGGTCATTGGATCAGCATTAGAACCCAAAGATAAAGTACGGGACTCAGGAAAGGTAAACTCCTTTCCAAAGTTTAGGAGCCAAGCAGTGTAGCTTTGTCTCTGTGAAAGTATTCTACACATAGCTGCCACTCCAACTGCTGACAAACTGACTCCTAGGATCAAAAGAAACAGTTCTAAGTTCCTTATCCCCCAACCTTAGATAATGAGACATTTGTGATTAGACTTAGTTAAAACATGGATCTCTCCTCCTACCCTGGGTATCAGACTCTCTTGGGTCAGAACTCTGGACTTCTGTCAATCCCACTTAGAAACTCTACATGTAAACATGAGGAGGAAGCAAAGGCAATAAAAGAAAAGAAAGATATATATTCTGGAGTGGACATGTATAAAGAATGGCACTTATTGCCTGGCCAGCGTGGCTCAGTGGTTGAGCACTGACCTATAATCCAGGAGATTATGGTTCAATTCCCAGTCAGGACATATGCCCGGGTTGCGGGTTCAATCCCCAGTACGGGGTGTGCAGGAGGCAGTTGATCAATGACTCGCATCATTGATGTTTCTATCTCTCCCTCCCTCTTCCTTCTTCTCTCTGAAGTCAATAAAATATATATATTTTTAAAAAGAACAGCACTTATGATCCAATTTATGCTTCAGTGACTGTAATGATAGACTCAATTAAAATTTACAAAAAAAGAGAAGCAGCAAGGAACTCAGAATATCTCTAAAACAATAATAAAAAAAAAGCACCAGTCAGCAGACATTAAACCAAAAAAGGTGGTTCAGTTGAGAAAGCTTTACAAAATGACAAGTTATATTAGGTAAGAGACCTTCAGAGGTCACTGCGAAATGGTGGCACAACCTAGTTCTTTGCTCTCTTTCTTTATACTTTGGGCAGAACAGTCCATGTCACTGGGTGAGCACTGAAATTCCAGAACCATCAGCACAAATACACCTTTGATCTGTGCTCTGAATCCTGCTTCCGCACACAGGGACTCTGCTCTATCCATTCCCTTTGGCCTTTATGTTCCTACAGACATAAAACCAAATGCCCTAAAATAAATACACAAAAATTGCTAGAGGAAAAAAAACAGAAAACGATGAGCCATGAGGGGAGACTAGCCATACTAGGTATTAAAGAATACCACATAGCCTCTATAACCAAAACAGTATGGTACTGCTTCAGCCAACAAATGGAATAGAATAGCAAGTCCAGAAATAGTCCTAATTACATATTGAAATCAAATATATGATAAAGATAATATATCAAATTATTGGGGAAATGATCTTTTGATTAGTGTTAGAGCAACTATAAAGCCATTTGGAAAAAGATAAACTTAGATCCATTCTTTACACCATACACAGGAATAAACTCCAAACAGAGCAGAGCCATAAATATAAAAAAGTAACACTACACAAATACTAGAGAATATGGGTGAATGCCTCTATAACTTGGGCTATAGAAAGCTTTCTAACTATGACCCAGGTGCAATAAAAAAAAGATTGGTATTTTTGACTGTATAAATATAAACTGCATGTCAAAAATACCATAAGCAAAATCAAGAAATGAATGACAAAGTGGAAGAAAATGTTTACAACATGCATCACACATAAAGGCTAATATCCTTAGCATATAAAGAATTTTCAAGCCTGGCCAGGCATGGCTCAGTGGTTGAGCATTTACCTAGGATCCAGGTGATCAGGGTTCAATTCCTGGTCAGGGCACATGCCTGGGTTGCCGGCTTGATCCCCAGTCGGGGGCGTGCAGGAGGCAGCCGATCAATGACTCTCTCATCACTGATGTTTCTATCTCTCTCTCTCCCTCTCCTTTCCTCTCTCTGAAATCAATAAAGATACTTTTTTTTTTAAATTTTTCAAAACTGAAGAAAAATAACACTAAAAGTACTATTGAAAAAATGGGCAAAAGACACATACCAAAAAGAAATATTAAAATGGCCANAAATTTTTCAAAACTGAAGAAAAATAACACTAAAAGTACTACTGAAAAAATGGGCAAAAGACACATACCAAAAAGAAATATTAAAATGGCCATTTAACGTGTTTTTAATTTCACTCATAAGAGAAATACAAATAACTAAAATACCAATTCTCACCTGTTAGATTGGCAAATATTCAAAAGCTTAACAATCTATTTGGTTGGTGAGGCTGTGGGGGAAATGTGTACTCTCATACATTGCTGGGAATGCAAACTGGAGTAACATCTGTTGAGGAGAATTTGCCAATCTCAAACACAGGTATTTATGCATTTACACTTCAATCCAAAAATCCCACCTTAGAAATTTATAGTGAAGATACACTTCCAACAATTCAAAAATATATATTCACAGAGCTACTCATTGTAGCATTATTTGTAACTACAAAATCTGGAAAACTACCTACAAGTCCACACACATAGGAGGGGTTAAATAAGCTATGTTACATATACAAAATTNAGAGGGGTTAAAAAAGCTATGGTACATATACAAAATTGAGTACTAGAAAATAAGGAATATCTTTAATAACTGATAAGGAGCAATTTCAAGGATATAATGTATAGTGAAAAAGCATATTATGCTATATTTTGTTTAAGAAAAATAAGGAAACAAGCACATATCTGTTTGTTTGTTTGTTTTTAACAGTAATGAGAGAAACCAGTGAACCTCATTACCTATAAGGAGTGGGAAAGGGGGAATAGAGCAGAAGGGTTAGGGGAGAAAGACACTCTGTGCACAGCTTTTTGTATAGTTTTTACCTTTTGAAGCATGGTAATGTTCTACAGGTTTGAAGAATAAAATTAAATCAAGGAGAATGGTAAGAGGGAAAGCCACTAAACCAGAAAGCAAATGAAAAAGAACTCATTTGTGTTTCTCATGAATACCACAACCACAGGAAGAGAATAAACAAAAAAAAAACAATGAACTAACATGTAACTTACATACATACAGGTGACTATATGCTATATACTCTGTTTATGGGAAGGCTTGAAGGGAGTGGTAGGGAAGAGCAGCAAATAAATGAGCTCTTTTTAGCAACTTTGTTTTCTATGGTGGTATAGGCAAAGCAATTCTGAAACAATTTTAGGCACTGAGCAAATGTGTTTAGTTGTGAGCCAGGGCTCTCCTGGAGGAAGAAGGGACACAGAAATATGGAATAGGTGAAGGCAAGAAAGAACCCTGTAGGAATAAAATGGAGGCATTGGTGTTAAGTCATGATTTCTGAATTATATGTGTGTGCACATATACAAATGTACGTACATTCACATGTACGTATATTTGTATATAGATGTACATATACAGGGTGTCCAAAAAAATGTATAGACACATTAATAGCTGATAGCTGTAGATTCTATTACATTTTGAAAATGAAATGTATTTGAACAAACACTGCCTTTATAATTATTCAAAGTGTGTATACATTTCAGGGGGACAGCCTGTATTCCCTAGCTTTGTCTGCCAATAAGCAAAAGCACCTCAGTGGTAATGAGCCTATCTAGCATCCTGCTCTCGGTCTCTACTACCATTGCTACTAAAAGGAACCAGGTAGCTTCCAGACTGGGGGCAGGATACATACAAGATGAGCTGGGGCATCTTGTTATACCAGCAAGGAAGGATACAAGCTAACTTTGAAATCCTGGCAAGAGTTGACTAGCAACAAAGTAGAAATTTATATGCTTGAGAAATCACATATTTTCGCTTAAGTGTCTTGGCAGAGCACACTGTTCCTGTTTCCAGCCACCACCAGATGTGCAGACTTGCCCAGATGACACACATCGGCCAACCACAGGAAAGCAAGATTAGTATCAGAAACAGGATAACCAGCCAAGTCAAACTGCATGTCCACAGAAAATTTCCCTGCTACTCCCCTCAACTCCAATGTCCCTTTTGCCCTATATAATTAGTTGGCTTGACAAGAGCTGTTCAGATGGTTTTGAGGAAAGGAGTCCGCCATCTTCTAAAGCAGGGGTGGGGAACATCTGGCCCACAGGAGGTATACANGAGCTGTTCAGATGGTTTTGAGGAAAGGAGTCCATCTTCTAAAGCAGGGGTGGGGAACATCTGGCCCACAGGAGGTATACAGCCTGAGAAACCATTTG